TACAATTTTTTTTACAGTGTGAGTTTTTAAGGTTAAGTTTTTCATTTAATATTTATATTTTAGATTATTTCAGCTTTGTTTCAGATTTATTAAAGTTTTCTGAAGTCCTGTTATAGTTTTTATTCACTGAAAATCTTCCTCTGTGCTGCAGCTCTCAAATCAGTAATATTTAATCTCATTGATGACCAACCTGATCTGCATTTCACTTTATTTAGCTTTTTTTTTTCTCATCTCACTGAGATATCATAAGACTTTGAGTTATTTTATGGTGTTTTGTGGTGTTTTCTGTACTATTTTGAGCTGGTCATTATGAACTGTTGTTGTAGAGCTGCATAAGAATCATTTAAAAATAGATTTTCTTTTTCTACAGAAAATAATAACAGCATATGGGTTTGGAACAACATGACAGTTGAGTAAATTACAAAAAAATTGACTGCTGCAGGGAACTGGAAGTTCGCATCACCCTGGTTCCCTTTAATAGGATTTTCCATTGGCTTTAAATTATTACAGAAAATAAGCTCTTTGACCAAGAAAATGAATGATACTTAGCCTAAACATTTTGTTCATCAAGGTAAAATCGTCGCAGCATTGTCAAATTTGTAGACTAAATGCAATTGTCATAAGCTAGGCTATAAACAAACTTCAACAAGTTCACACAATTTCGTCACCACTGCTTAGCCTCTGACAAATCTTTTAATCTTTATCTACAAGTCAGAAAGTTTGAGTTAGAATACTTTGTAAAAGCGTGAGTGTGAACACAACAAGGCTTTAAAAGTGGACTAGTAAGTAGAATAGTTTTCCTGTTTGGTGTGATGACGTTTAATTTTTGTGACAGCCTCTGTAGTCCCATTTAGCCATTTGTTAGTGGGGTATTACTGATTTATTTTATGTCATAAAGTGTGAAAATATCTTGAGCTTGTGTCAACCAAAGACCTTATTGCAGGCATTTAATAAAAAATCCATTCAAAAACTCACTGAATTTGAGACAATGGAACCGGAAGTTCACAAATACTAACTCAATTCCAGTTTTTGGAATCATTCCTGCCTTCTATTTATTAATAATTAAACAATTGATCTTGGTTTTCATCTTTAATTTTAATTTAATCAACTCTCAGTCTTTCTCAGAATGCTGTTTTTTGTGAGATGCCATAGGTGCAACGCAAACCCCAGTTGTCTTATTTTGTTCAATTTCTGTAAATCCGGTGTTTTGTCATTAAAAATTATGCTTAGGTAGAATCCTTAAGATTTGCTGAATGATCTGACTCTGAATCAGCAGTTAAAATGAGAACTGAACAAATATGGCCGCTCTATTGTCTTTTTTGCTGCGTTGAGTCCCGTGTGATTGGCCGGTTGGCACAGCACACTGTGTTTGATTTCCTGTGTATGTTCTGTTACAGTATTATTTTATTCAGAATGATCTTGTCTGACGAAATTCAGAACCAGGACTGGATACAGAGCGTAACCGGCTGCTAAAATATCCCCGGTCCCTTGAGGCAGCCAGAGGCCATTCTCTGAGAACCCAGCTAGAGAGGACATTCTGTTCAAAGCTATTCAATGGAGATATTTTTTGTTCGAGAGATTTTTTTTCCCTTCTTGAACTGAATATCAATCAACGGTCGCCTCTTTAGTGTGCTAAAGCTCGGGAAAAAAATCACACCACTTCCAGACAAAAATAAATAAATAATAAAATCACAAAAGAGTGAGAGAGAGAGAAATGAGGTGAAATTGCCAGCCATCCGTTCCTTCGCGTTTAATGATGCTCTCTCCGAGCGTCTGGCGTCTGGGTGTCAGAGACCATGATTTTTTATCGCAAACACTGCAGCTCAGCGGGGTGCGCGGTTTTAGCGAGATGGGTCCGGATGGGGGCAGTCAGGTTGAGAGAGTTAGGGGGGCTCGGGGTGGTTTCGGGACCCTCTCAAGGTGCCTCTTCCATGGAAACGCAGCTGGCTGAACAAGATTCCCATCAGTCGACAAATAAGAGACAAGCTGGGCTCTGTCTCCACACGGGCCGCACTGTTACCAGGAGCCGGCAGCCAATCGCGTCCCCCCAGTGGCCTATTTCGACAAATGGGCCTTTTCTGCGACCAATCACAAGTGAGCAGCCTTGTGACATCATACGATAATGAAGTAGACTCATCGTAAAGCTTTTTTTTCTAAGGCCGATTGGCTCTCCAAATGAGTGATTCTGCTTCAGGAGTCGGAGCGGCATCGCTGATGGAAGGCCATCTCTCTTCACTATCTTTGTCCTGGTTACGGGATTGCACGGTTGGGGCCTTTTGATCGGTCCCCATGTTTCCCAGCTCTGCATTTGGTTTTATTGTGCATTAGTGCTGACCCTGACCAATCACTTTCAATCACCATAATTCTCTGATTACAGGAAATATGCAATGAGATGGATGAATAGCTCTTAGGGCATTTCAACCCTGGACAGGTTCCAGAGTTTCACTTACCTCTGACGTGCCGTCAATCTCTCTTTCTCTCTGTATCCCTCTCTTTTTCAAATGGCAATCGATCCTTACCAAATGACACTAGAGAATTTAGAGACACTTTTAGATATATTTGTCCATTTTGAGAATATTGGCATCATTGATATCCATGCCTGTTTGACAGCTTAACAGAAGTGGAAGTTTCCCCTTGAGTTGGTTTCAAATATTGGTTTCAATTTTTTTGAAGTACTACCTAGAGTAAATATTATTATATCAGGCACACTGCTCTCTAAATATAGAGCATTGGTCATTGAAAAACTTACATTGGTTGACCACTACCAAATGGCCTAATTTGTAAATAAATCTTGGCTTGAATCTTGCTTAAGCTGTAAGTTAAAAATCATAGTTAATTTGTCTAGGGATCTTGACAAAACTTCTGGTTTGACTGAATGACATTTTAGTGTAGAAACTGGTATGAAGGTGTACGACAAAGGATAAAGGCGTTATCTTTTGTCACAATTTCCAATTTTTAAACATAAAATCTGCTGGAAGAAAGTTTGTCCATGCTAGGCATTCAAGTTAATTTAGAATGTTAGTTCTGGTTGAATTAGTTGAATGAACATGCAGATTTTTGCTTTTCATTGTTTTGTGTGTTGTTGTTTTTTTTTTGCTTCTTTTTGCAACTCAATAGATAAACTTGTGTAGTTTCACATTTGGCTTTGGGTCTTTTATTATTATTATTGTTATTTTAAATACTTGTGAAGTGTTTGGATGGCATGTCAGTGACCAGAGCTGTTACTTGTGTGTTATCACCTGTCAGTTAGTGAGAGTTACATCAGGGTTTCAGACCGCTGCCCTAGAGACTGCAGTCTGAATAACCCATGTTCCTATTCCTCCACTATTGTTGGTCCTTAAATATAGTTTATTTAGGTCTGTTTTATGTTAATTTTTGGTACATATGGTTTTGTATTTAAAATTATGCTGTGGTTTAAGGAGTCTGATTTGTTTGTTGGCTTTAGATTGTGTTGATTCAGACCTTTTTTGCCTCCATAAGAAAATGTAATTGTCTCCAAGCTGACCATTTATAGGTAAAGGTTTAAAGTCATTTAAAATATTTATAATACGATATTTGGTATTAAAATTCCCTTTATTTACATCACTCTTTTAAATTACTCCAAATGTTTAAAATGAGTTCAAATGCCAGTTTGAATTATTTGCTATATACTGTAAGTATTAAACTGACATTAACAATTTTTTTTGGCTGCAGGCACTTGAAATGGTGACGGGATTGAAAAGACCCACAGCCTCATTAAACATGATTTGAATTCTCCACATTCTCCACTCGCCCCTCTTCAAGTGACCCAGCCAGCACAGCAGCTGATATCTGGAGTTTAACAGCCTCCGGAGAAGGTGACAAAAAAAAACACTGAACACATTTCCTCCGCTGTTACATTTTTACTAGTTCTGCTATTTACATAGTTAACATGAAATGGCAGCCCATCTTACTTCGTAATGTGTTGTGAAATGGGAAAAAGTGTAGGGCAGAACTTTTATCCACTGGAAAATTGATTGTTTTTTGGAAGATTTCTGTGGCTGTGTTCAGAATCAACTGCTAGCAAACTGAATACAACACGGTATATACTACATGCAGCCTACATTTTTTTTTAAATAGTTAATAAAACAGTAAGCATAATTCCTCTTTTCAAACAGGGGTATGGTACAATGTAAGTGTTCAGTAGCTCAGACAGTAAAGACTAGGGTCATGGTTCAGTACCCAGGGAATGCACTTACTTTTGAAATGTGTACCTTAAATGCAATAAAAGTTGGTTTTGGATAAAAGTGTCTGCCAAGTGCAAAAATCTAAAGTGCATGCATAAATCGGCAAGTGGCAAGGTATCATCTTCGCAGTGTTAAAAATGCCCTGACTTTTGACAGTCTATTAATAAAATAATGTCAAGAAAGAGTTTAAAATCAAAACTGATATTACTTGCACTCTGCATCCGTCACTTTGGGATACAATATTGAGGGATACAATATTCTGTCTTGTATGCTGCAAATTTTCTGTGGATAAAGAACATTTAAACACTGTGTGATAGTAAGCAATAGTAGGAGTAGTATGGTAGTATGCTATTCTGATGGGTGATTGGGGGCGGAGTTAAAAAATAAGAGGGCTTGATGATGTCAGCTGAAAAGGAAAATCATTTCAGAGGCGGAGCAAGTTGCTTTGCCAATTGATTAGGATGACAAACTTTCACAAAAAGAATGTATTAAGAAAGTAAATAAGAGTAAAATAAGTAATTTTTCTGTTTTAAATTTTTTTTTGATGTTATCAAAGAAGAGTAAATCAAATTCTTATAATACAGAACTCTCTTGAAGGTTGATATTAATATACTAATGAAAAGTTACAAATCTCAAATGATTGTCTCTCTTCTCTTGTTTCAGCAGTGCTGTACTTTCTCTAGACACACGTCTGTTTAGCGGTTACGCCTGCTTAAGCACACACACACACACACACACACACACACACACACACACACACACACACACACAGGCTCGTTGTACAGAAGTGCTGCGGTTGGGAGGAGGAGGAGGAGGTGGAGGGGAACAGCTGCTCCCCACACAGAAGCCGGTTTCCCAGTCTGACAGGCAGCGAGAGGCAGCCAGTGCCGGGGCTGTTTTCCCGGGGGCCCTCGGGTTGGTTCGCCAGCTCCGCAGCTCCGGCTTGGAGGGAGATTTTTATGGCGGCGGCGAAACACGAAATTGACCAGAAAAAGTAGGATTCTTTCCTTCACAAGGCCAGGCGCTCGTGTTCTCTGTGAGTACTCTGCCATTTTTTATTTTTTTTTGCTAAAGTTGCATGGACACAAAGGATCATACAGTCCTCGTTGTCCTTTTTGTGTTGTTTTGTTTGGCTTCTCTCTGCCTCTCTAAACCGTCAAGAACTCAGTTTCCTGTGAGAAACAACTCGGGCAGTTTATCACTCGCGTTGAGTTGCAGGTTTCGTGAAAAGGGAGCTTTGTGCTTTTGAATTGCAGCTGGGCAAAAGGGTCACGGCCAGAGGCATTGGTGCTGTGTGTATATGTGCAAACCAAATATGGACTGCGATCTGATAAAGAACGTTTATGAATGTTTGTGAATCCTCTGGCATTGCTTTTGGAAGTTGTGGGACACGACAGCATGCTTTGAACTTGGCAGAGAGTGAGAAACTTTGCGTAAACTGTTGGAAGGACTGTACAGAGACTCGCTCGCACTGTTACACACTCATGGCTGCCGGGTTTTGAATCAGTGTTGCTTTAATATAGTATTTAAGGAAATATCGGAACTTATTCTTTTTTTTTTTTTGCCAGAATACTTTTTAAGCGAGTAGCATTAACCTTAAAGAAATAATAAAATAAAAAAATATATTTTTATTTAAATATATATGGTATCTAAATCATGTATTGAGGATCTTTTGTTGACCTTTACAAGCTATGATTTCATTGAGAGGCTGATTAATATGCAATATTTAGCTCAAGTGAACAATTTGAGTTACTATTTCTCAAAGTTTAGTGTCAAGTTGGTTAATTTATTCAGGAACAATAGATCATAACTGCTTGTGTTGTAATATACAATACATATTTGTAGTAAATAGTTGCTGAGGCAAAACCATAATTTGAGGCATTTTTAAGTCTAATTGGCTTGTTGGTGCAGTCATTTCTTAGTCCAACTATATTTATTGTGTCAAAAAGCATTTTTTGTTTGGATTTTATCAGTCTAATGTTTGCCATTATTCACGTGATTTGGTTTTTAGACAGCCTGTCTGTCTGATGCTGTGGCACTTCACCTATTCTTCCAGAGCCTGAGTCCTGTAAAATGTCTTTTTTCTTTAGGAGAAGCCTTGCTTCACCTTTTTCTGTTGCCCCCTCAGATGACCTTGTTGTCACAGGAATGAGATGTTAGGACAGGCATTAACGTGCGGCTTTCTCTTCTAGAGTGCTGTTTCAAAGCATGGCCAGAGGCATGGAAAAGAGGGAATGCACAAAAAGAAAAAAGGCGGAGGGCAAAAAGGCAAAGGAGTCGAGTAGTTTTAGCTTAGCTTTCGGTTTCCAGGCCATTTTTTTGTGTAAGGTGGGATATCGCAGTTTAGTTGTCAACATAGCACAGAGAAAGAGAGAGATAGCGAGTGAGCGAGGGGCCACTACTGAATCTAGTTCTCTATTTTAGGTATGTAGGTCACTATCCTCTGAAGTAGCAGATCTGCACACCTTCTTAATGAGGGCTTCTGAAGTCTTTGTGGCAGATGGTTTATTTTTGGCTCTTTGCTGTTCTATATTAAAGTTTCTTCAGGGCACATCAAGTTGATGGCCAGGCTTTTAAAAAACACAGATCTTGTCTCTGATCTCCTCTCTAGTCCTCAGTTTAGACCAATGTTTCATCTAATTTGAGGTTCATGATGAGGAAAACCTATTTCTATTGGGCGAACCCATCAGTCACCTGAGAAGAAACACTTCTGAAACACTGTACTAGAACTCTACAGTAACTACAAACCTAGGAAAATACATAAATTATATAATATATATAATATTATATAAGAAAAAAAGAAAAAATAGGCTTTCTCTGTCATTCTGTATTTGCACACACAATTTCTAAGTACTATATTTTCATCTATAGTTACCACATTATTTTTGAACTATATTTTAGGAAACATTTATATGATTAGATGAGATCAATTTTCTCATCTAGCATGACATAATTGAAGCTCCATGCGAAGTAATTAGGAAATTGTTGTTAAAGAAATTTTAGTTGGCATATAGCATGTCACAACCTAGGAAATGTCAGTTTTCCTCTCGGTTTGTGTCTTTTATATCTATATTTTTATATAGGCTAACTATGGCAGGATGATATTGGTATGTTTGGAAACAATTTCATTTTGTACCGCTATGAACTTGAACTGTTTATACTGTTATAGGATGCCGTCCTTGTCTCTCGAATAAATCAAATGTGTTTCTACAAGATTTGTAATATCTTTAATTAGGCTGTAGAAACACTATTGTTTTAGGATTTTTGAGTCTGCATTTGTTCTGGTCTGCGCTGGAGTAGCATCAGAAGTGGCGCAGCTTAGAGGGAACATTGGTTCAGTCCCTAATGAGCAGTGCTGCTCTTAACTTAGTTATTTTGACAGGAAGGAAAGGAACATTGTTATTTTGTGAGTGTGTGTGTGTGTGTTCTCGTCGCACTGCTGCGGTTCTAACGGGTTAAAAGGTGGATGCGTACTTGCTCTCGGTTGACAGGCAGAACGCCGAGTGCCAAATGTGTTTAACTGCCTCGCAGGCTGTAAATTTGTCACACTGTCATTTGCCGACATGTTTTACATAAAACATGTTTTTTTAGGTATTAGGTTTCTGCAGAAGCTCATGCTAGAAAAGATCATAACTGGAAAGTTCAGGATTGAAAAACTTTTTTGACAACTCGTGAACAGAAACACTTCACTTTCTATTATTTGTTTTAATAAGTTTTGTTCATATTATATTTGGATCAAGTTTTTACATGACATATGGATTATTATTCCATTCTAATGAGTAATAATTTTATCTTAATTAAATGAAAATAATTTTAGGCAGCTTCTCCAGGTTTGATTCTATCACCAGGGTTTTCAAGAACTACTTTTAATAAATGATATCCATTATTTATTTATTTATTTTTATCAGTTCTGAGCTGTTTTAAATATTAAGAAGTATAATTGTTTTTTAATCCAGCATTTCTTCATTTAGCTAAAATAAAATAAATAATTATTTAAAATAATTATTTTTGTTTTAATTTAAGATTTCAAGTCTCACAGACATTTTGTTTAAAACATAAATCTCCCTTGCATTCCTTCAGGCTTTAGTTCATTAGTTTAGCCAGATTCTGACACTCCACAAATTATTAGTTTGACTACAGTTGTCAGTGTAAATGTTTCAAATCCCTGGTTTAATGTTATTTATAGAGGGAAACACACACACACACAGGTTTTGTTATCAAAAAAAGGTGCTAAGAAGCTTTCTCTCTCTCTCTCTCTCTCTCTCTCTCACACACACACACACACACACACACACACACACACACACACAATTCGTGTCCTGGAGAGCCATAAAAGAGATGATGTCATGTCTGAACTGGAGACTGTGTGTGTTTGCACTGATCCGTTTCTCATTCAGAACCATTGAATGGGCCAGATCGCTCTGAAAGAAGAAATCCCCAGCAGACGGCCTGAAAGTTGCCTATTCTAGTCAAATTTAATTTAACTCAATCTTCTATAAAAATGTAGACCAGTTTTTTGTACATTTTAAGGGTCTATACCTATTCCAGGAGGGATTTATGATGATTGTAAGACTGAAAATAAAAGAATGTGACTGATTTTGGTCATCCTTCAAAAAGCCTGCTGCTAGTGTTTTTTTTTTGTTTTCTCTCTCTTTTCAGCTTGCTTTTGACAGGTAACTTATTTCAACATATTTAAAGGCAACATTTGACTTTAGTATGCTGTACATACAATGAAAGCTTTAACAGTAAAAATATTTTATTGTATTATTTTTTTTTTGTAAGTATTTTTTTTAAATGCTGGCTTTAAAAAATCCATAGGTTAATATGATAAATCTATTTAGAAAAGCAGTGTATGTTAAATTTCACATGCATTTTTGTCTGTTACACATATTCTACAAAGAATTTTGACAGACTCTGCAGGTGTGATGATTGTGATTTGAAACTTTTACTGGTATTTTTAGTGACCTTTCAGAGTGTGTGCACATTACAGAACAAAATAAACATGTTTAGTGAATGTTCACTACAATTTATGTGACATCATTACCTACTCAATGGCAGGTGCACAGTGACAGGGCTCTTGGGGTGAAACACATCTCTTTGCTTTTATGGCTACTCAAAGTCCTTGTTTTGTCCTTGTTTACTTGTTAAATGTCCAGCAGTCTTTCATTCTTGGCTTTCTGATGTCCGAAAGGGATGGGGTGGGACTGCATTGAGAGCTGCTCTTCATCAAGGGCTTTTGACTGCTGTCTGAAGAGAGGGGAGTATTTCAGACACAAAAGGCAAACACACATATTTAGTGTGAGACAAAGGCTGTCCTGTGCTGCTCAGCAAGGGGTTAAACTCTCCTTTTGTTTGCACGCAATTAGAAGATCTCTAGTTTGCCTTGTCCTGTCATCAAGACTTTAGGGTTGAACACTCAAGAAACCTGTCAAGAATGTGTTTGGGTCATATTTCACCACAAAATGTCAAATTAATTTAAAAGAAATTATTGTGTATATTTAAATAGAAACTTTTACGTGAAATTATTTATGTGAGAGTTAAGTACATTTCACCACCAAATAAACAACAACAACAAAAAAATCTCATTACTATAATGTAAAAAAATCCATATTTTATTTGTAGAATATTTATAGATAATGGTAGTATTTGTTGTACTGCTTAATTTTGATTTAGATAAAATCTTTAGTAATTTTATTTAAATAAAAATTGATCCATTAGATTTACTTTTGTAAAAAAAAAAAGTGCAAAATGCATAATTACTATAATGAGAATCACCAAAATGATGGGAATTACAAACAAAATGATGTAGTAGCATAATGCCCAGAAGCAATACAGTAATTGGAATGCAGAAAAATCGGACTTATTGACATTAAATTAATGTCACAATGCAAAATATGATTTATTATTCTTTAGTTGGGATGTAACGATTAACCGCGAGCGGGTTGAAAATCGTTTAAAATATGTGACGATTCAAATCGGTTGAGATGCTAAACAAATCGCGATTCATTTAGGGGGAGGAGTTTATATGAATGCATG